AACACGACGGGCCTCTCTGTAACCTGCACACGATCCGGGCGTAACATGAGCCAGAGTGATAAAACAGAAAAACCTAGCTTCGTGCACCTTGTTTTCGTTTCTTGTAGGCCCCTAAAAAGTGCGAAGTGAACAGGATGTGACGCTGTTTATGCGACCGCACTCCGGGAATGTTTTATCGTACAATATTAAAATGTTAACGATTAGATGAGTCAAAATCTGAGACTAACCATATTCTTACTCGTGGCTCCATTTGTCTGTAATATTATCGACGTGTTGGGAAAAAAACTAAAAAAGTAAATTAAGTTGTTAGACGCTTCTTTTAGCAGATAATAACACTTCGGGTAAAGTCATAGTTGACCATCCGGACTCAGCGTCTGTCTGCGGCTCACACATGTAAGTATTAGCCTGTTAGCACCGTTGCAATAACAAGTGACCAGCTCTTTAGTGTCTCTTAAGATAATTATAAACATTACTTGTGCATGTTCGCAGCCAAGGCACAGGGATTATAACTACAGCTTTGTGCCATCTGTTTTAAAGCAGTGTTTTCTCGGGAAGCAACAACGTTAGCTAGCAGCTAATGCTAGTTTTTGAGGCGGTGTTAGGTGAAGTTGGTCTTGATAACTTCAACCCAAGTTTAAAATTGAGGTTGCATTCTTGTCATACTGCGTGAAGGTGATTTTATTCATTGCTCTGTTCACATTTTGAGAGATTGTGGAAAACCGACATATTTGGCTTTAGTTTTCATTTATATTGAGCTGTGGCTGGAAAAGAAAGCTAGCTCTGGCTAACGGATATGTTAAAACAATACTATAAACAGGATTATTTAATCTAAGAGAAGGTGTACTGTATTCATCACAAACGTGGAGTAGTTCCTGTGTTACAGCAGCTGAAACAATAAACACAATTTTTAAAAGAATAACGTAAACAAAGAGTAACCTGAAGTAGTGCAGCTGTGTTCATGGGCTTTTGAGCCTGTATGTGAGTTTTTATAAGTGGCCTTCAATGTTTGTTTAGTATGGTTTTCTGGTTTATGGAATAAATGCTGTAAACCTGCATATGAAACTGAGCCTGTACGACTTAATCTTAAATGACGGAGTGTTGATGTAAATTTCTATGCCTTGTCATTTTAAAATAAAAATAAACGTAATAAAAACAGTCTTACTGTCTTATAAAGACTCTAAGAGTCTTATAAAATGACTCCAAGAGGTGAAAAATACTCAAGTTAGATTAAATGTAAAAAAACAAACAAAACAACAACAACCCTAATATCGCCTACAACATTGGGGGGAAAATGTCCCTTAGGAATAACACATGCAAAAACTTGTGTTGTCAGCTTGAGTAGATTTGTTTAAGATAAGATAAGATAAGATAACCTTTATTAGTCCCACATGTGGGAGACGCAGCCTACCACTGAAGGAGCTGCTCAGTGCTGTGAGTCTCCTGCATGGCGGGAGATGTTGTCCAGCAGGGATG